CCTCCTCTTCCTCCTCTCACAGATACGTCACCTCTGCTCTCCTCCTCCTCCTCTCACAGATCACTAACCTCTGCTCTCCTCCTCTTCCTCCTCCTCCTCCTCACTCTGCTGTAGGAACGCGTGTCGTCCACCGGCCTGGTTCTCCTCGGACTCAAACCCTGAACAGTAAGTAACCCAGCCTGACAGTCTGTGGTCCAGCGTGTGTGTCACTGCAGAGACTCGAACACGCGGTGTTGACGTGATAACAGGAGGATGTTCTGTGTTTTAACGATGAGCGGCGAACTCGGCTCGTGTTAGCCGCGGCTAGCAGGCGGCTAGCTGAACGGCACTGGCTAGCTAGTGCTAATGCTAACCGGCTCCGACGTCGTAAAAGGTTTAAAATAAAATAAAAAACAAAAGCGTGACGGTCAGATTTAAAACCAGCCACAGGAAGTGTCAACGTTATTATAGATGTTATTAATATACACGTGTCGTGTGAAGCTTCCGGTGACAGAGCTGCAGCGCAGCTAATTCAACACGCTGACAGAGCTAATGGTAATGCTAGCTAACATGATGACATGTTACCGAGTCACATCATACATGACGGAGGGTTCCTCGGGTCATCACACGTGTGTGAACTGTGGAGTGTCTTTGAATGAACATGTTTCAATCCTCCGCGTTCTGTCAACTCATTCATTTAAAGCTGAACAACAGTCCAACCCGTAAAGTGTCTTTATTTCCAAGTGAGATCTTTGATGCTTTCACCAGCATGAAGTCATGATTACATTCTCACATATCTGCAATAATATTCTACATTCCTCATGAAACAACGTGGACAAAGTCAAGCAGCAGAACATAGATGAGGACAATAAGCAATAAGATAATTAATCTACATGTTTGAATCAACAAATCTGCTTTTCTCTGTTTGTCCTTGAAGATATATTCAAAGAGTAAATCCTGCTCCAGACAACATCGTTAACTTTTAACACGATTTCATTTGTGCTTTTTGTCAAATGCATGGATTTAATATTTTCTCACGTCTCTCAGTCCTTCCCTGCTGTATATAATCATAATTGCAAATATCACATATTACTCATTGAACACGACCCTTATCTAGATAAGCAGCACAATATAGATTGATTTATGGACAGGGACTTAAACCAATTGATAATTAACATATATTTGGGTTTGACATAAAATCTAGAGATCTGAATCAGTAAACCTGTGATTTTTCTTCTCCAGGATTTATGCATGATTTGTAAAGTAATTTATTAAATTTTCCTTTAACGTATTAAAGAGTAAAGCCTCCAGACTAGACAGTGTTCTTATTAATATCCATTTAAATTAAAACTGGCTGGAAAATCTCAGCTTCATCGATCCACATTTGGCGACTTTACCATGATCACACACTGGTTTATTTTGAGTTGATCCCACAGATACGGCCGTGCAGCCAGAAACATGAGTGCACCAAATGTGTGGCTAAAAATAGTTCCCAACAAATCAAATACACACACACACACACACACACACACACACACACACACACACACACACACACACACACTCATCTAAAAAACCGAGAGGTCGATAAGAGCAGCCACAGCAAACTAGCCTAGCCAGGGAATTGTTGGGAAATAAAATCGATAAAATGCGGCAAAATAATGCAGAGTCACATTACATCACATTTACTTTATTAACAGTAAATTAAAAGTGATGTTAACCCCCCCCCTTCATTACATTAATCTTGTTTAATATATATAAGTCTTGTATTTCTTCACATTCATCATCACCCAAAACTAAAGGCTTTATCTCCAGTTTTCAAATCTTTAACGCAAAACTTCTTTCCTCTCATCTTGCATTCAGAATTTGACAAGTGAGTATTTCTTGAAACGTTTCCTTTTCTTTGAGTCTTTATTCACCGTGTCACATGTCCACTGTATTGACTCAGTTGTTTTTGTGAGGTGGTGATTGTTGAATTTCTTTTTTAATGTCTTGCGGTTAACGGGATGAAAAGAACGTGTTGAGCATTTGACTTTGATGCTAGTTTGAGCTCAGCCACTCAACCAAGCAAGGTGAGTCAAGAGCTTGAATGTGTTTTTTAAAATAAACATTAAATACCAATGACTCTAAATTCATTTGAGTGGTTATTTGTGTTGATGCATCTCCTGTATTGCATCATGATTATGTCACGTCATACGAACCACAGCTTGCTCTTTATCTGGTTTGTTAACCGAGAACAGCAGAAGCTATTGAATCACTTACTTTGCATGTGTGAGCATGTCGGTGCTCATCAGTGATCCATCATCAGCTTGTGCTTTCTTCCTTTTTATTTAGACGTCTTTAATATTTTTTCTTTGGTCATTCGTGTCAAGATTTGTCAAATCTTGACGTTCATTTAATATTTAAAGGATTGAAATAATTTGTTTTTTTGCTATGAATAATTTAAATGTTGCACAAGCAATGTCTTTCAATTTCTTTACGTTGTAAAGCCGTTGAGAAAACATAATTTAAATGTAATAATACCATAAAATAGAGCAAACGATGCAGATCTATTCTGATCCATTTGATGTACTCTGCAGGATAAGCAAAATTACAATTTTCAAATCAAGAGAGCTCCTTAAAAGGATGATGGATGTATTTATTGAAACGGTTCATGTTCATTTATCAGTGTCGGAACCCTGAACACAGGAAGTCCCAGTCCTCACTTTACAAGACGTGTCGGAGTTTAGAAGCATGTGTTTGTTTAGTTTGTCATTGAAGGTTATTGAAATCCACAAATGCCAGAGATTGCTGCACCGACTTGTATTTTTGGGTCTGTACCATGTTAGCTTATCTGGTTGCTCACTTGAGTTCATCTGCATGGATTTTTTTTTATTTTGCTGCATGTGTTTTGCCTTGAATCATACAACCGGCTCTCTGAAAAGTGTCTGACACTAAAAAAAGATCAGTCCCTTTGTGTTTCTAATCCTTCCTGCGTCTCTCTAACTAATCCAAAAGCTTGTACCTGTTATTCTCTTTTTTTTCCCCCTTGCAACGGATCAAGGATGATGTCTAAGAAGACCCCCCAGTGTTCGGTGGCAGATCAGCCGGAGCACGATCAGCCTCAGGTGGACCGGTCCTCAAACGCAGCTCTGGGGTGTAGGAACAAGACTGAATCAGGTCAGAGAAACGGAGAGACGGCGTCCTCTTCCCCGGAGAGTGGCAGCATGAACGGAGACGGGAAGCGCAGCGGCAAGAGCCGCCGCCGCAAGAAACGTTCATCTAATCCTGAGAGCAGCGCTGAAGAGAAGGTCAGCAGCGAGACCAAGGCCGAAGTGAAGCCGGAGAAAAAGGCCAGGCAGGCATCTGAGCCCCGTGCCGGTCTGATTGGGCTGCAGTCCGAGTGTGCCAATGTGTGGTTTGAGCGCAGCATCTACGAGCGGGCCGAGAGCCTCTATCAGTGCTGGTTGGCGGGTTCTTCCAATGGGACCACCCAGTCAAACCGGTCACCTCCGGCCCCGAGCAAACACTCAAACTCTCCGTCAACTGCGGCTCCATCTTTCTCTGGACCGGTTTGCCGCCACAGCGATCAGGTGGCCTGTCACCATGTTGTTGAGGACGTGTGGGTGAACAAGACGACCTTCGACCGAGCAGAACATCGCTTTGTTGAAGAATCTGTGCAGCCGTCCGTTCCAAACTCTCTGGACCTCCCATCCCCACCCGAGCGCTCCATCGCATCAAGAACCCCCGACGAAGGATATCAATCTCTGGCGCCGACTCCTGCAACCCCTGTCCTCCAGCAGGCAGCCGTCACACCAACCAGTCGACAGTCGATTAACGGACTGCCTCGCTTCCCGGTGGAGTTGCTCAGAGAGGTGTGGCTGGAGAAACCACTGTATGACCGCGCTGAAGCAGCCTTCTACCAGAATCTGTACGGCAACAATTCCTCTAAGCGCTCCAGCTGCGCCTCCTCATCCAGAAATGGCGAGCACCCTCAAAGCCTTGTAGAAGAGGAAGAGGAGGAGGAAGCGGTGGTGGAGGAGGAGGAGGTAGTGGAGGAAAAACGTGTGGTCCAGCCGGGCAAAGCGGAAATCTTTCATGCTCTGCACCCGATTCAAGAAGAAGAGGAGCCAGCTGAGGTCCCGGAGAAAGAAGAAGTATCGGGGGTAGGGGGAGTCTGCTACTTCCTTCACCCGGACAACGAGCGGGTGTGGCTGGACAAGTGGCGGTATGATGCCGCAGAGAGCCGTTTCCATGGCTACAGTGGAGATAAAGACGTGGTGGTGGAGAAGAAGGGTCGGAGGCCAGAAGCGGACGCCTCATCAGTTGCCTCCACGGCCCCACTGAGGGACAAGTATGACCGAACTGGGAGAATGGAGCCGACGTTACAGTTCATCCTTGTTTGATTTCCTCTTTATGCCATCGTGTGTTTCCCCTTTTTATTTATTTTTAATGCGTGAGTTTTATTTCTCTTTGTACATCTTGTGTTTTGTTTTTTCATTCGTCTCGGTTCATTCATTCTTTATTGCATTATTTGTTTTTGATCTTCTCGAATGACTGTTTGTACGAATCATTGTTGTGTTTTGCCAACTTTACCTTTTTCAAGGTTTCATTTTTAAAGTTGTGTTGGAATGTTCTTTTTGTTTAGACCATAGAATATATAATAATTGTAAGATTGTGAATATAGTATTATAATAAAGTTAACACTTTAAGTATAATTCATAGAAATATTAATATATTTCTCTTTTCTTTTTCCCTGACTTCCTGTGTCCTGTTCAAACTTCCCTCTTTTGTCCTTCCTCACTCTTTCCGCTGTAGCACGATGAGCTTAGTCGACTTTCTGGCCCAGGAGAAGATCTGGTTTGACAAACCTCGCTATGACGAGGCAGAGAGACGCTTCTATGAACGCATGAACGGCTCCTCACAACCAGCACAGGTATAAAACACAAGGATTCTTTGTATTGTTTTATCTTTTATTCCATACTTTCATTTTAAAGAACACTGACATTTCATTTCCATAAACTAGAAAAACTAAGTTCTTAGACTTTAGACATTAAGTTCCAAATACAATTATTGTGTTTATTTGCTTCTAGGATGCTGGAGCGAACAGCATTCTGCAGGACATCGCACGGGCTCGAGAAAACATCCAGAAATCTCTCGCTGGAGTAAGTTTCCTTGATGTTTTGTTCATAACTTTCTTAGCTCACATTTTCCAGTCTGAGTATTTAGACCCCACTTACAGACGTAATTTTATTAGATCATCCTGCACCTAGTTTTATTGTGACTGTGCTACAGAGAAGATGAATCACAGCACCTAACCGTGGAGAGATCATGTAGAAATCCTACAACCACGTTAGTGACACACTGAAAATGCTTCTTCTCATTTTACCTCATTCTCTCGTGACAAAGTCGTGTTGCTTAATTTTACTTTTACATTTTTTCACACTAAGTTGTGTAATTTCACCGGTGGGTCTTTACAGTGAGTGTTAGTGCTACGTGTCTTTGACTTTCTTCAGTTGCTCGTGAAACCAGGTCTTTCTCTTTCTTTCTTTTTTTCCACGACATTGACCTTTCAAAGTCGGATAAGAGGCAGATAAGTTGTGTAGTTGGTGTGTTAACCCATTAAAGTCCATGAAGGAGTTTTATAATTTCCTTTGCAGCGCTGACGGAACCATCTGAGCTGGTTTTTCATGTTCGTTTCTAAGTTGAAGAAGAGGAGCTCTGTCTTTTGAGTATGTTTCTAGTACGATCTTTCTCCACAACCCTCCATCTCTGTTATTCCTTTGCTTTTCCCTCTTCATGTTCTCGTCTACATCGTTCCTTCATCATGTACTTTACTCAGTTTGCTCCTCTTCCCTCCTTTTCCCTGGAATTTTCCCTTTTCACACCTGAAACCCTCCCTCCCTCCCTCCCTCCAGCTCAAGACAACACTGTGTCAGAGAGAGTCTGCTCAACCTTCCATGAGCCAACACCCAAAGTTTGTAAGTGCCAGCAAACCTCGTGTGTCACGGGACGCTTCTCCGCTGCCAAACACTTTGTCCGTACTCGACTTTGAGTTCACTAGAGTTCAACTTTAGATGACGTTTCTGTGTGGAGTGTTGTAGATGCAGACTAATGACAGTAAATGAGGATGGACGACGCGCCTTTGCTTCCTCACCCTGCACAAAAATGAAGCCAGAATATCTCGCTCTGAATAATCAAAATTTGAACAGACATCTAAATTTAAATTGGGGGGGGTGGGGTTTATGGCGTGTACTGCAGCCCACCACCAGGGGGGAATGCTTTGGCTTCACATTTGGAAGCTGTTATGTCGCCCATCTTTTATTTACAGTTGCTTACACAGATGAAGTCGCTGCTTTATCACCCTTGTATTTCTATCAGGGTCTGTCCACAGCTGCTGTTGCTACCGTCTGGCTGTAGAAGGACTCTGGCTGTGTGTTTACACTTTAGGTTTAACACTCCTGGGTTTGACAGAGGTACTAATTCTGTGGTTTGGTCATTAAGTGTTTTTCTCTCTGTATTAATCTTCTTTGTCTTTGTGTGTTTATCGTGCAGAGCACCACCAGCAGCACCAGCGGTGCAGCAGCTGATCAAGGAGAAATCATCTCTCGCATCAACAGCCTGGAGCTGGAGAACCAGAGCCTACACAAAGGTGGGTGTGTTTATTCTCTGTATCCGTGTGACGGTAACATGTGGATATTATTAGATTCTAACATCTGTAATCATATAACATAGCGGTGCTTTTATGACCAACAGCATAAGAACCAAAGTGATTTCTCTTATAATGAAATGGGGAAAAAAAGAATCTTCATATTTCAGAAGCTTTGGTTATTTTACTTAAATGATTTACAGGATTAATTATCGATCAACAAATAACATTTAACTTTCAGGGAAAACAAATAAGTTTCAGTAAATGTTGCTTCTATATTTTCAGATTGTTTTATCCAGTGCATCTTGGTTTTGTTTCTATCACTGCTTCCTGTTCCTCAGTAGAAATCATTTTTTTGTTTCATTCATCATTCTTTAAAAAATATAAAACTGGATCTTTTGGTTTGCTGATAAAAATCTTTTGTTATAATCTGTTTATGCTGGTGGACAAATAACCAACAAGGAAATGTTTATTTTACAGAATAAAGGTAAAATTAATATTTTCTTAATTCAAGTATATGTGGCTGAATGAATTATCTTTTTATTTATGGTTATTTACAATAAAGCTTTTAAAAACTCGAGCCTCAATTCCATTTTGACATCTTAGGAATCAGTAATACATTTTCTTTTTAATATATCGGCCTTGAGCCCAAAAAATCCTTTGTGTCGGGCTCTACGTGAAACTCTGGTTTGACTCTGTCTCTTCAGTGGTCGACGACTTGCGAGCAGCTCTTTCCAAACTAGATTGTCGAGTAGCAGTTCTGGAGAAGTCTCCTGGGACCCCGGCTCCTGCTCCGTCAGTCCCCTACACAAACGTGAGTTTCTACATCAACTTTAATAATCGTTTCCATTACCTCAGCAGCAGAAAAGTGACTGTAGCGATCTGAGTAAACAAGGTGTCTCCTTCCAGGGCACTTCGGTCCAGCAGAAGACCAGCGCCCCAGTTAAAGAGGAAGACGATGATGAAGACGACGATGACGACGACATTGACCTGTTCGGCAGCGACGACGATGAAGAGGCAGAGAATCTGAAACAACAGAGATTGAAAGAATACGCGGAGAAGAAGGCCAAGAAGCCCACCATCATCGCCAAGTCCTCCATCTTATTGGATGTCAAACCTGTAAGACTCTTCTGATTTACTCAAGATGTGTGTTGAAGAAGTGTTGACACATCTTCCACTCACTGACCCTCTGTCCTCCTCCCCTGTATTCTGCAGTGGGACGATGAGACGGACATGGGGAAGCTTGAGGAGTGTGTGCGCTCGGTCCAGGCTGACGGTTTGTTATGGGGCACATCCAAGCTGGTTCCCGTGGGTTACGGCATCAAGAAGCTCCAGATTGCGTGTGTGGTGGAGGACGACAAGGTGGGAACCGACTTGTTGGAGGAGGAGATCACCAAGTTTGAAGACTTTGTAAGTAGTTATTTTTATATTATTGTGATCTACTTAAGTAGAAATGCTTGAGATGTCATTGTCTGAAAGGAGATATTTTGTAAAAAAGAAGGTTGTGTGGAGTTTTTTTTTGAAGAACTGAGGAGATAAAAACTCAAAGCGTGTTTGTCAACTTGTTTATTATGGTTGAAATTAAGACACTTGGGTTTTACAGGCAGGTTAAAACTAAAACTGAACATTTGAACCTTCAGCAGGATCATATTTCTCTGCATTAGACAACCTGGAGTTAGGCGTTTTCCTATTTAACCCGGAAAATACACGCGTTGATTCTGCGTCACAGGCACAGTCGGTACATTGTTGCTAAAGTGAGACACAAACTAAAAGTTTATACTGTAAAACCTGAAGCAACTTCACAGTTTTGAAACAAATGTTTTTACTGTTACAGTTAAAATCTTGTCTCATCAGTTCCCTCTTCACTCTGTTTCAGATCCAGAGTGTCGACGTAGCTGCTTTCAACAAGATCTAATCCCAGTCTGTCTTTTTTTTCTGTTTCCCGTCTGTCATCACGCCTTGTTTCTCTGCTGATTTGTGTCAACGGTTAATAATAATAATAAAAATCCAACTCGAGCACTAAAGCTACTGTTGTGTCTGGTGTTTTTCTCACAGGTTGTATCAGACCAGTTTACCCAAACATGAAAACATTTATCTTTGCCTGTTGGCGGAAAACAAGCAGATAATTGTTTTGGTCTGTTTCCATCACAATAAAATTAAGGTGAAAATAAAAATAAAATGTCTTTCTAAAGACAGAAACTATTCCTCCTCTTTCTACTGAGGCATGAACCCTGATGTATATATATTGAGGTCTGTGGATTGTTCAGAAAACATCTGTGATGGTCCGACATGGCTCAGCTGTCAGTCAGTGCGGCATCAAGTGTTAATAAAGTGACAGTTTCAGTCCACAGTGCAGAGGGTGATGGTAGACTGGGATCCCAGCCACGCCGCAGGGTAGAGGGGCAGGTCGAACTTGGTGTTCACTCTGTGCAGGAGGACGACTCCTCCGGGCGTCACCGTGTAGAAGCAGATCAGTCCGGCGTCGTGGTCCAGAAACACCCCGACTCTGCGGGGCAGCGAGCCGGAAGCAACCGCCAACGCCTGCTTCTCTTTTCCATGGCAGAAGGTGAAGGAGGAGGAGCCGCAGCAAAGACCCCATGAGAGGAAGTTGTGTCCCAGTCTGCAGTTGTCAGATGATCCCTGACGACAGAGAGTCAAAGATTAAATCTGACACATGACGAGAGATGAAACAAACTTAAAAAGAGTTTGGTGGTGTGTCTGAATAAGGAGAATGTTTCCTTTATGTAAACTCTGGTGAAGAACTGACAGAGTTTATCTCCAATATTCAGCAGGAAACTTTTAAAACGTGAAGAATTCTCAACAGAGTTTGGTGGATTTGTTACAGCCACAGTATTTCTGGTTCAGGAAGCAGAGGATCATGGGTAATGTTGCCAGTTCAGTGAGGGGAACTAAACAGTCAGAGCTCAACACATAGACAGACACAGAGCCTAACAGAATCATTCACTGACTGCAGAGGGCGCTGTTGCTCAGTAAAAAAATCGCATCATGTTGCATTAAACACATTTTTATATTATTTGACCAAATTCCTCTAAAAACAATAAAGTGGACAGAAAACCAAATACCTTTCTTTCAATGTCCTCGTACGTGAGCCCCAGCACCACCTCTCTTCCGTCCCACTCCGCCTCCCAGTAGCTGCGGCCCCGCAGCCCTTCACGGCACAACACCTGGCACCAGGTGTCGAAGCGATCGGGGTGATCCGGGTACGACTGAAGTTCTCCGGTTCGACGGACCACACGGTTCCCTTCGGTCAGAGAGAGCTCCCTGTGAGCCGTGAACAGGTCCAAAGACAGAGAACAGAAATCTGCCAGGAAGAAAAACAGAAACTTACTCTTCATTTGTTTTTCATACAATCGATTCAGTAAAACACAGAAAAGAGAAGATAAAATAATAAAATACTGAATAAAAGGAGAAGATAAAACCAGAGGTGAAAAGTATTTAAGGGAAAATGATTCTCAGGGTGTAAAAAAAGTACACGATCAAATAAATAAAACAATAAATAAAGCAGATATAAATAGAGAGAATAAATAAAATCGATTAAAGCTAAAGCATCTGGTTGATGACACTGGTCTGACTCACATTGAAGGAGTTCACTTCTGTTGTTCAGAGCGGGGCCGACTGGAGATTTACAAGATTCTGCTGCTGCAGGAGTAAAACAAACAAAACAAAATCATTTGAAATGGTTTTAACTGAACATGAATCACGACTGAACGAGCAGTGAGAAGAAAAACAGAAACTGACGATCTACAGAAAGTGTTTGTCTGGTGAACGTTACAGCAGCTACCGCACATTTCCATTCTAAATCATTTTACATGATGAAATATCTTTTTTCCTTTTTAAAGATTCACTTACCTTCGTCGACCTTTTTCATCTGCAGGATGTTCACAGATTTCACTGTGAAAACACCGAGACAGAACTTTACCCAGTGACGCCTGAGAGGAGCTGCATGTGCTTGTTTGTCCCAACATTTAAAATCAAGTGTGACATTCAGATGAATATAAACCGACCTGCAGAGGTGATACTTGGGAATTCTCTGTGATACAGACTCAGCAGCTGGTCTTTCAGGTCGGAGATGGCTCGTCTCACAGGCCCGAAGGAAACATGCGGACAGACCGTCAGATTGATGTTTGCTCCTGCAACATCTGGACTGAGGTCAGACTGACACATCTGCTGCAGATGATACGGCAGCAGGAGTCAGAACTGAACTCAAACACGAGAAGATAATAACAACCCACTCAAAGATGTGTTTCCACCATCACCTGTGAGATCAGCTGTCGGTCGTGACTGCGTGAAAGTCTCTCCAGCTCAGCGTCTCTCCTCCTCATCTCTGAGATCTGCTGCTCCAGACGCTGCACCTGGTTCTCCGCACGAGCCACTTCAGCCTTCTCCTGAGCTCGGATCAGCTCCTTCATCTCAACGCGGCGACGCTCCACGAACTCCAGCAGCTCGGAGAAGATCTTGCTGCTGTCCTTCACTGCAGCTTTGGCCCGACGCTGAGGAAACAAACACGCACACTCAGTATATTTCATCGGCAGTGAAAGGTTTTTATACGATAAGAAGAAAAGAAAAAGAAATGTCTGCTCTTCCATTTCATCATATCCATTTTCATATGGAGATGAGATTATTGCTGAACTAAACTAATTATTTAAATGAAGTATTACAGGCGACATGAAGCCCAATGAAAGCGATGTGTGTTCATGAGGATGCAGCAGAAGACGATGAAGTCACAGGCAGCAGAGAGTAATATGTAAATGCACAGGTACAGTCGGCGTCTCTTTCTACTCACAGACAATGAAAGCTGACTTTGTTTCAGCTGCTGAAGCTCCACCTCCCTCTCTTGGATTTGTGCCGCGAGACGTCTCCGTGTGTTTCCCACAAGCTTCTGGAGCAGCAACGAGACATGACATGAAACCACTTTATTACATCGGAGAAATATCATTTCATAATGACGACTGTTTTTTCTACAAATCAGCTACCAGTCGTTTGGAAGTAATATTCCCACGACGTTATAAAAAATCTGTTGTCGAGTAATTTTACACACACAATAAATACTTTTTTTTAAATCTGAAGAGGAAACAACAGCTAAGAAACAGTTGTGAGTTGCTTCAGCCGCCTCACCTCTCCGTCAGTCCTCTCAGGACGAACTGAAGACACATCGAAGGTGGGGTGCTCGAAGCCTTGGCTCTCGTACAGAGGAGGAGCCGAGGGGATTGGGCTCAGCTGGACGGAGCTGAGTTTCTGCAGCATCTCCACGAGCAGCGTGTTCCTGCCCAGCTTGGGTCTGGGACTGAACGAGGCTCTGCATTGTGGACAGCTGTACACGGACTGACGGTCCCAGTGGCTCGTCAGGCAGCTCATGCAGTAGCTGTGGCCACACGGGACGGTGACTGGATCTCTGAGCAGTTCCAGACAGATGGAGCAGGTGAAGCTGTCGGGGTTCATGCTGAGAGGAGCCTGAGCTGTGGAAGCTGGAGGAAACAAAGAGAAGGAAGATGGAACAAATGGAAACACACCATCGTGGCTGTGAATGTTTTTTATATAATATGAACTGAACAAAGTTAGTAGTAAATTTCATTATCTATGCAATTTCAATATCTTCTGTAAGAAATCTTATTTACAGAGTTTACATTGTAGATATTATTGCAATTTCTAATCCCCTGATGTTTTCACTGCATTTCTTATTTCTTTTATCCCCTCTGCTGCTGAAACACAGAAGATGATTATAACAAAGAAGATGTGATGTAAATTATTGGATGAATTATAAGATAAAGGTTTCTGCAGAGGTTAGAGACGCATTTAAACATGTTTCTTTAGTGGTGAGAATATATGAACATAAATACGATCATTTGAATGTTAATTTCCTGAATTTTATCCTTCCAGTGTTTTCCCACTGTTATTTTAACCCTAGTATCTAAAATAATAATTATATATGATTATATATATTAAGGGGAGACGAGTACTTGTAACAACATTAAATGTTGACGATCAAATAAGGGACAGTTCTGTATAAAAGGAAAAACAAACTTTATCCAACTCGATCACTTCTCTGTTTGCTGCAGTGATTTCTGATTTCTGTAATAAAACTATGTAATGATTCAAATGTTTTTGTTTCCTGTATCATTGTGTATGAATCCGATCCTGAATCTTTTATCTTTAAATCACTCAAACAGACTTTCATGCACCATTTTCATGTAATGGAACAAGTGTGTGACTGTTTGACTGCTGTTTTAATTCTAGAAGCGATAAACAGGCTGATGATCTTTGAGACCTTTAAGCTAGTTTTCATGTGATCGATGGTTTTCAGCTTAGATTCGTATTTATATTCGATTCCTCAACTTTTAAAAATCATTATGGGGAAACTAGCAAAACATCTTTAGCATCTTTAGCATCACAAACCAAAACAACACGAGACTTAAGAGAAGCGAAGAGACGAAGAGGAAGTTCACTGACCGGAAGCTGAGCAGAAGAGTCCGTCCTCCTTTACGTTATATTAAAACATTTATTTATAACATAAATTAAATATATATAAGTGTAATTTGTGACTGAGAGTCAGAGACTGTCTGGAGACAGACACAGGCGGAAGCAGGAAGTAGGAGCCGGAAAAGGAAACCGAAGAAGAAGGTGAGGAAACAGCTCAGTTTGAGTTTCACTGCCCCCTGCTGGTGAAAGTACAGAATTACAAAGACCAGTGTTTATCTTTTATTATAAATTTAATTAAATTGACTAAAAACAATGAATGAATTTGTTTAAAATAAAATAAAAAAGATGAATGATCTGAATTCATTAGGTTTTAATTCCAGCTAATCGTTTTTGACAAACCTGTGAACTGCAGTAACTGATTCTGTATTTTTAAACATATTTATTCAATTCTACATGTGTTAAATTCTTAATACATTCAATTATTTCTTCATTTATCAAAGTATTTCTATATTAATACAGTTCTACATTTATTTATTTATGTAATTCTTAATATACTCATTTATTTCTACATGTATTTATTTCTACAATCATTTTTTAATTTCAACATTTATTTTTAAATGTATTTATTTTCCCCACACATATTTTATTTATTAATTTCGACATTTTTTAACTACTTCAATCATTTCAACAAGTATTTATTCATATATTTATATATTCATACATTTCTTTATCACATTTTCCATTAATCATCTATTCATATATTTCTATATTTGTTTATTCATCTCTACATTTATCTGTTTATTTATTAATACTTTTATTAATCTATTTATGTATCTCTACATTTATATATTCATGCATTAATACTCTTGTTCATCTATTTATTTATTTCCGTTATTTATTTATTTATTTCTGTGTTAATTCAGTCTAAAGCCGGATTGTTTATAAGATTAGAAGTTTGAACTGTTGTGTTTTGCACTGTCACTGTTCTCAGCAGCAGATAAATCGTTTGCTTTGCTGTGATGGACGTGAACAAGTTCATCAGTTATTTACCTTTAAAGACCTTCTTGTCCACATTGGTTCAAACGTTAAGTCTCAATGTTCATTGTGGACTTTGGAAACAGAAACTGATTAAAAAGAAAAAGATCTTACCTCACAGTCCATTAGCAAATGTCCAGGAGGAAGATGTTGACGATAATTAAACACATTTTTCTTTTCTTAATAACTTCTCTTGTCCACTAGATGGAACTATGTCCATGGTATTCAGGAGTTCTCTCTGCATCGCAGTCATCACACACCACTCAGAGAAATACCCACGACTCAAAGGAGCTGGTGGATGTTAGAACAAGTGGAGGGTGTGGTGAGGACATATAACATTCAATCATGTTTCCCTTTGAATCCTTTGAGGAAAAAACATTAAATGAAACCACAGTGGGGATGAAAGTGCCGAATATTCTGTGGTGAGGCTGAAGACTGAAGACTGCGTCCCCTTCACCTCATTTAACGCACAGATGAAAGTTACATCTGAGTCTCAGTTTGCTGGTCAATCTACCGTGAAATGTCCTCAGAGGAATATAAAGTCTGAGACGTACCTCAGAGAGTAATTAACTTTATATAGAACCTTTAAAAACAGTTATTACAAAGAGATTAACATGAAGCTGTGAAACACACTGAGACCTTTACTGTTTTATTTATTTGTTTGTGAGGCGCTTGATTATTTTTAGCCGAGGGAACCTGAGGGAACCCACCTAATGGAGAGGAGAAGAAAAATAATAATGTGTTTAGTCTAATTCAGGCTTTTCCCTGTTGTGACAAAAATAATCCCTCCCTCTGCTCCGGTGGGGAATCTGAATAAGATGCTGAGAACAAATGAAGGAATTCTATCACTCTGACAGGTTTCCTCTTCTGCCCTGAAGAGAAATAGAAGCTTTAAAGCCTGAGAAGTGCTTTTAACTGAGTTACCGTTTGTGCACTGAAGCCCTCGAGGCTGATGTTGCCACAGTTAACAGCCTGTGTGTCTGATTATCCGTCCCTGCGTCCTGCAGCTCCAGCATCCTGGTTTGAAAGGCCCCTCTTTGACAGCCTCATCCCCATGAAGGAGGCCCCCGTCTGGGCTTTGAGAGGCTGCAGTTGCTCCCTGGCTGACACATGGATGGATGGATGAGGGAAAGACGATGTGCATATTCCGTCTCTCGACCAGTCATGAGTGAACAAAAGACAGAAGTCAAAGGGAGACGATGGCGCTGGAGCAATTACTGTCTGAGAAGGGGGGGAGGGGGGGGAAGAAGAATAATGAAGGAAAGGATGGAAAACCACAAGGGGAGCCCAGAAGAAGAAATAAACATATAAACACTGCACTTCTTCTCTGGTACTTTGTTTTGGTAGTTTTACTACTGTCTACAGTTGATTGATTGATTGATTGATTGATTCCACAGAATTATTGACAGATTAAGATAAAGCTAAGCTGATTGATTTGGCCTGTATCTTTCTGTATGGAGCTGCCAGGGGTGAGATTTTGTCGGAGTATCTCTCTCCATCAGTGTTTCCATCCATCTCTCAGTAAAGTGTTGTGTTGCTGTCGTCGTCCTCGTCAGCAGCAGCAGCAGCTCTGATGATTAGTTTTTCAGTGTGTGCATGAAGCTGATTTGAGGCTGATTGGTTCAACACTTTCCTCTCAGATCGTCTTTCTCTGCCTCTCACACACAAACAGAGTCGTAATCTTTCCCCCGTGTTGATCAATAAACCTGATTAGAGCTCCATCCTTCCAGCTGGCAGTGACTAATGCTCCGGCAGAGCCGCGGGTTCTCCTGAGAGAGGAAGACGAACCGTGCCGAGGCGTGTGCGGAGTCCAAATCGCCGCCACATAATAGTTCATTAATCTGCAACATGTGTATGAGTCTTAATGACTCTTTTCTGGCTTCAAACTCAACAATAACAGGGACACAGTTTGAATTCTTTCCTCTTTCGAGAGAAGGTGAAGTTTGAGGAAAAGTTTGGACGGAAAGAAGAAAGAAGAAGAAAGTGAAATGTCAGACGTGAGAAGCAGCAGCTGAGTCCGGAGCCGTCAGTCATCAGACTCTCATAAAACTCCCGTCACGACGGCCTGAGGTCACGTTCAGATGACTTCACATCATCAGATTCACTTCTTCATACTTAAACTCACAGAACTGATGCTGACTTTACTTCTAACCATTTGTTTTCCTGTCGTGCAGTACTTCATACTTTATACAAATAAATACGTTATTAGGATTATTACTAACAGCAATTTAGACTGAAAAAGTGTAAAATTGTTTTTATGGTGGATAAAAATGCTGTTTCACGTTTCCCAAAAATATTTCAAATATTTGAATATATCTCAAATAAACTTATGCCGAGGTAAAACTAGTTAAATTGACTTTTTACTGGATATTTACACTTACTGAACGTTAACTGATACATAAGAGAACTGCTGCTAACGTTAGCTTGCTAATTGAGAAAGAGTAAAATAAGTATTGTAAATTTTCCGTCCGTCTGGGAGAACACGAGGACGGGTGACAGGAAGCTGCTGCCTCCGCCAACAATAGAACATGTCTGCTAACATGGAGGAGGCAGGGGGGAGGTCTATGAGCTATGCTGCAGCCTGCCAACAGGGGGCCATCCAGATGATTTGGCTTCACTTGTGGAAGCCGTAATGTCGTCCATCTTTATTTACACGTTGATTTACATTATTCTTTAAAAATCCTGTTAAAATTTAAACATTTGGTTTCAAAGCCCAGTTGCATTATGGGAAACATCCAGTGTATCTTATACCTTGGACAAAAAGTCAGAGCGTCTCCTCTGCTGCTGGATTTAGAACTTTCGAAGACAAATGAGCAGCAACTGTAACTAAGTTTCACATTCTGCAGAAAACTTCTTTCCACAGATGTTAAGATGCAATAAAGTCATTTGTTTGTTTGCGTCGGGCTGAACAAGCGGCCAACACGATCCATTATGCATGGAGGCCTGGATTCGTTTGTAGACGATGAATAAATGCATCACGTTTGAATTATTAAACAGTGACAAGACCCGTGTGTCTGTTTACACCACGGATAGAGAAGTTGGGTAAATAATCTCGTCCCGCTGTCGTCGTCTCCGCTCTCAGATTCTTCCCCCGGTCGGATTCCTGAAGGCCTTTCCCTCATCTGGTGAAAACACACGGCCGGGGACGCACGGCGACGCCGAGAGGAAGACCAGGATTTACCAGAATTAGGACAAACACACATGAATTAAGCATCAGAGAGGAGCTCCGGCTGCTGAATTCCTGCCACCGCCGTCCCTCTGTGTAAAAACAGACAATCTACCAGAGGCAGGACACACAAGAGCCCGACTGTGCTGGAGAGAGAGACGCCGATTTAAAAGAAGAAAAACTGACATCAGCTCCATCGAAACAGGAAGTTTACTGGCGTTGCTAAGAGGGAGACGTTAAACACGGGATATGACCAGAATAAACGGAGAGGGGCTTTTTCTCCCCCAGAGAGAGACGGAACAAAAAGACACGTCAATCTTTAAAAAGACACACGAGACAAATCAAGAAGCTCACGATTAGTCTATTTCCAGTTTTTGTTTTTAAGGATTACAGAAGTGATTCCATCCCCACTTTTAAAAAACAGATACATTAAGAAAATAAAAGTCAAAATCAGCGATTCATTTTGATTTTTGCAGCAGAGAAAAGATAAAAATCCACAATAATAAAAAAAGTCCCCAGGTTTTTTTGTTTTTTTTCCGTTTGTGCAGCGTTCAGCTTCCTTCATTCATCATAATTAGAGACATTACGTCGACTGGCTTTGACAGAGACAAAAACAAAACAAGATAAACAACAGAAAGCAAGATTTCATCAGATTCTGAGGCTGCTACAGTTTCACACCACTAATATTCTATCTTTGAATATTAAAATATCAAAATAAATCACTTTCCTTCATTTGTTAGAGCAAGAAACGGTTTGCATATTCAAAGGTGACGTAACAAAAAGAACCACGATATATTTCTGTAAAATGTACAATGCTTGATTCCTTCATTGGAAAATAGAAAAGATTCTAGTGAAGTGGTTTTTGTGAAGCAGGATAAAAAAGCTAGAGCTGCTCCGAACTTTCTTTTTCTTTCTTTCTTTCTTTTCAGTGACGTTTTCGAAAGAAGAAAATACTTTTTTGAAGTCGCACTGAATCTGCGAGCAGCCGTTCAGCTTCTGGTTGAATTCACCGAGCAGCTGTTCTGATCCGCGTCAGTGTTAAAACCTCTTTTTCACCTGGGTCATAACTGACTGGTTCAAAAGTTCAACACAAAGGTCAGAAAACACATTTTCTGAATCAGCTTCTCAAAATCGATTTTGGTGATTTCACGTGATTTGTTTGTTTGTGTGATTGATTCTCTGTTTTCTCAAAATGAGCTGAAATGTAAAATGTTTTCATTTGTGCATCAATCAGGATTCAGCCGTCAATCATAACTGATCAAACCTCAGCTCCTTAGATTTATAAAAAATATAAACTCAGTTTGAAGTGAATGTTTATAGAGAAACACTCAGACAATTTGAAAGCAGGTTTTCCGGGCTGGTCGGTGTTAATTAGGTGGAATAAGAATAAAAGACAAATAAAAAAAAACCTACGTAGTGTCATAAATATAGAAAAGATTAAAGTCTTATTTTAACGGTTGTGACTGAAGTTATGAAGTTTTGTTTCCAGTGTTGAACTTTGTGATCTCAGGATAAAATTAGAATAAAATCCAAATCTCTAATTTTGGTTTCATCAGCACATTCGTGTTCATTTCTAAAATTCTCTCTCCCCCGAATTATAAAGCAACACTATGTGACTTTCACTGAGCAACAGCGCCCCCTGCAGCCACACAGGGGGACTGATTCTTTTTTGGCTTAGTGTCGCTGGATATTACCCATGATCCCCGGCTTCATGAAACAGGAGCGCTGCTGCTGTAACAAATCCACCAAACTCTCTTCTTCAAATTTTAAAAGTTTCCTGCTGAATATTGGTTTAAGGTAAAAAAAACAAAAAAAGACATAGTGTTGCTTTAAAACCATCAGTTCGTCCAAATTAAAAACATTTTCCCAGTTACACGTTATTTTGTCACGACCGTGGTTAAGTTTTAGAGAGACGCCCTGCAGACACATGTCAGACACATGTTCAGTCTGCAGCTCAAACCACCGAAAGAATCCACAGGCCACAAATAGTTTCACAACCATGTCCCAAAGTTTCTGGGTTTTTTTTAAACTCGACCAAAGAGGTTCTGTTATTTTGCTTCCACCGGTTTGTTTGTTTGTCTTTCAGCAGAAGAAGAGAACAGGAACCCTTTTAAATCTGCACAGATCTGCACGAATGTTTTCGAGAGAATAATGAATGAATCCTGATGAGACACGTGGGACTGATGTCTAGGATTGTTGTTTAATTTAAAATCTGTACCTAGTGAATTTAAATGTTCAAGTTCTACAGTAAAACTAACAAATATTAATGAAATATTAGAAAAGACAACTTGGGAAAATGTTTTTTTTTGTAATTTGGTTTTAACTGACTGATGTCCCGGTTCATCTCCAGGTTATTATTTACAGCTTTTAAAATAAATTGGGGGGGGATCTTTCAGAACACTTTGTGAGACAAGAGACGGAGAGAGACAAGGCTTCTTTTCTCTCGAGAGCCCGGCTCCACATTCCTCTCATTCTGCCGGGCACGACCTGACCGCAGCTGCAGCCGCCTCTGTGTCCGTCTCGGGCCCTTCTGGGAATTTCTTGTCTTTTTCCGTGCTTTTTTCCGAGGTCAGGAAATCCCTACAAGGACACACTGGTCATTTTCAGATCCGGGATCATGATCTGAGTCTCTAAAGTCAGACTTGATCCACACGTGCGCCCGCGCGGAGCAGATTCTCCGATAACAGCGTTGTAAAAAAAAAAAAAAAAAACTGATTTCCACTTTGAGTGTGCTGAAACATCTGGATCCTGCCGCTGCAGAACAACTGGAGATTCAGGAGCAGGTGGTTTTCCATCAGCGTCGGAGATTCAAAACAAGGATGTGACCTAATATTAGAACATGACAGATGCTTTGACTTTGGTGAAGAGGATAAAGAGGAACAAAGACTCTTCTGTTTGAATTATTGCTTCTTCACGCTCCGACAGCTCTTTAAAAAAAACGACGTGTCTGATAATTTGTGCCTTTGGTCTGTCACTTAAAGATCCGCTCGAATGAACGACAACTCTTTCTTCCCTCTCTGATGACGACTAATTATCTCGTCTCGCTCTTTTCGCTCAAAAACAACTTTTCTCCAGCTCGCCCTCCGCGCGCCTCCTTCCCGTCCTGACGCTCTGTCGGGGGTTTGGGGGTGGGAAAAAAAAAAATCCACTTTCACTTCAGCCAGTTTTTGTTTTAATTAGCTCGTGAGTTGACGTATAGTGATCAACCTTGATGACAGGTCTGATTTAAACGTCACTCTCAGTGTCACACGTCTGTTTCGTGCTGCCTCAGCTCCGAAAGCCGAGGGTCAAAGGTCAACGTGTCCAGACCTGACGTCACTCCGACAGAAACAGCTGCTTGACACTCTAAAAGAGATCTTCCCCCCCGAACCCTCGCCTCCTCAAACACATCCCCCATCGTTCAGCTTCTCCCACTCGTCTCCTTCTTCTTCTTCTGCAGCTTTCTTTTCCCGCTGCCTTCGACAGTAACTCTGGTCTCATCTCTTCATCTTCTAACTGGTTCCATAGCAGCTTCTGTTTAGAAATGAATTTTAAGACTAACGTGTGATGAAATGTCCCTTTAAATGGATAAAAAAGAAAAATGAATTAGGATGAAAAGATATAAAATCTGTTGAACTGTTGTTTTACATCTTCGGTTCATTTTCAATATATTTATGAAGCTTGTTCATTTAAAGGGATATTTCACCACATTAATTACATTCATCAATATATGATCCGCTTGTTTTAAAGCAGACGTCGTTAACGCGACGTAAAAAGATAAAAACATGATAAAAACACTGAGGAAATAATATTATTTTACAGTTGACATGTTTTTCTTTGTTTATATCTGAGCCGTCACTGCACTAAAACTTACGAGGAAGGATTCGGGCGACTTAAAGGGACGAAATATTACGAGAGTAAAGTCATATTTTTAGGATCCTGTCATGTTAGAAGCTGAATATCAGAGAATTGGTCTGTCGCCTGCTTTTACATGAGGAATGTGGGACAATGCTTGAATCTCATCGGCTCCACATGATCATAATTATCAGGACTATTAAAAAAAAAATGGAGTCAATTCTGGAGAAAAACCAAACAAACTTGGAAAAAATTGCCTATTTTTTGACTTTAATCTCGTAATATTCTGATGTTTTTTTTTCAGTATTTACTGAAACCTGCAGCTCGGCCGAGTTTTCATTCGTTAAAAAGAAGCTCGTAGCGTTTCGTTGACCTGACGTCAGACACGAGGGTCAGATTTCATCATCACGACCTTTAAACTCATCCGCTCGTGTAAAAAGCTGCTGAAAAAATTAAAAAGCATCAGACCGTTTTCCTGGATCCTGTAAGAACGTGTTCCCTTTTCCTAAAGCAAAGCCTGATACATTTAAAAAGTGGCCGTGAGTGTTTGATCCAGTCCGTTTGAATTTATGTTGTTTTCAACCTTGTGAGAAGAAAAGTTCCAAACTTTTTGAATCATACTGAAAATGTGTCTGATCTCCGCCTCTGCTCGTCACTCAAACGACAGCAGGTCTGGATGTGGCTCCGCGTCTTCGGCGCTCACTGCGGTGCCTTTACCACAGGGGGCGCCGTTCCCCAGCAGCACCTCCTCGCCCAGGCTGATGCGGCAGGCGGTTTTACCTGAGCGGGGGGTGGAGGCGAGCCGGATGTCCGGCCCTGGCGCCTTCTGCCAGATGTCGCAGGGCGGGGGATCTTTGTGGATGAGGTCTGGCACAGAGAGCTGGAGCTGAGGCTCCTCCACATCTCTGTCAGCTCTCCTGCCTTCCATCTCATCTTCTCCTCCATCTATCACTCCATCCACCTTGCTGTTGCTCCCTGTCGACTCTGACCGAGCCACTTCTTTCTTCTCTGCATCACCCAGAGGCGAGGACACATCCGTCGACCCGTCTCCCTCCTTCTCGCCCTGCTGCTCGTCCTCGCTGAGCCCCGGCTCCTCCTGGGCGATGAGCGGCGTCTTTCCGGGGGATGGGAGGAATGAAGAAGTGTCTCCAGCATCTGGAGAGGAAACCACGGGGTCAGAGGAGATCATCATGTCCTGGGTTGTCTTCAGTGCTCGAGGGACGCGCTTCTTCCCCGACGGCGGTGGTGGATCCAGCCGAGGGAAGGAGTCGAAGGAGGAAATGTGACTGGAAGAGAAAAGAAGAGATTCAGAAACAACAGATCAATGTTTCTGAACAAATCCACAGATTCAGGCACAGAAAACAAACAGAAAACATACGAGTCTCAGTAAATAACTGTGGAATAAATACAACATTTTTAAATTCATTACTATTTTCCCTGTTTAAGAAAAGGAAAAGTTGAGTGTTATTCAGTTTCAGACGCCTCAGAGGCTCCTCTGATGTGTCATCACTGATTTAAAACCATGTGACAGAAAAATATTCAATTATTCAGTTTTTCAGAGCCAATGTTTAATTTAAACTTCTTTTCACCTGACACTTCTTTCCACAAAGGCCATTTAATAGTTTTGCCCTCGATGAGATAATGTCTTTCACTGGTTTTATCACTAAATTGAAAATGTAACCTCAGAGGAGTCAGATATTCTTTTTAAAGGAAAACATAGACGGTTAAAAGAGAATAGATGATGACCTTGGATTCAGGTAGTTAAAATTAAGATTAAGTGTACGGGGTGAGAGGATATGGTTCAACAAACACAGACACACACACCTGTTAGCTGTAGTTGTGTTGAGTTGGTCCATGCGGCTCCACACGGCACCGACGTTTTTGTTGACCTCAGTTACCCCGATATCTCCGAGGTGGCTAGACTCCTTCCTCCTCAACAAGTCATTTACCTGGAAGGAAGAAAGGAAGGAAGGAAATAAAGAAAAGGAAGGAAGGAGGACATGTGCGAGTTATGTGGTGAATTATGAGTTCACACCAAATGAAAAATACTTTTTGTCTCGTGTTACTCGTGCAAATTTGGCCACACGATGATTTACATGAAGTTGTCGCACGAGCAGACGCCAGTGAACAAATATTCACCTGTTCTCCTCCAGAAAAGAACTGGAACGAGTGCAGCGAGAAAGAAAAATAAGAAAATTGTGCATTGACTTTGTATTTATCAGCTCAACTAATGTTGCAACAACTTCCTGACACTTGAATCCAGGTCTGCTGTTAAAAGAGTTTCCTATAAAAGTCTTATCTAAGAAGCTATGTTCATATAGGACCTTTCATTTCCGTCTGTGTCACACTGACCTTTGCCCCGACAGCCTTTCCCAGGTTAATGGCGTTCTTCAGCCTCTGTTGGCCTCCGGAGGACGGAGACTCAGCGGTGCTGGACACCAGGTTGGGATTAGACGATGCTGGGGTGCGTCGGGCCGAGAGCTGTCCTGGCCTGGAAATCTGGGGACTCTGCTGCTGAGCAATGGAGTTCTCAAACATGCTTTGATCAACTGGAGGAGAGGAAAAAGACAAGAGACAGGGGGAGAAAAGGTTTTTAACAAACAGCAGGATTTAACAGAAGTTTTCTGAGGTTGCAAAGCTGCAGATTCTTCAAGAATCAGACGACGACGAGATGCAGAAACTCCCCTGGAATCTGCAGCATGTTCCACAGTTTCTCTCCGTCGCTGCTGCAGACAGTTTCCTACGTCTGTTTTGTCATTTGTTAAATCTCAGAAACTCTGCAGGAAGTACTTCATCTAAACATATGGAACAACAGCTGGGAGGTGCACTACACCGAAGGGATTCATTTTCTTTGTTGTCACTTAACGTCTCAATTTGAATCCAATGCAACAGCTGTGAATTCAGGCTGACGTCTGCAAGACAAACTCTTCAACACAACTTTTGAGCCTTAAGGGGGAAAGAGTTTCTGCATTTTTTTGGGAGGAGTAATCCTTTAAGCGACCGCGTTAGCGTAGCAGCTGTCATGAATCAACTGTAGCACCTCTGCTTCCAACCTGCAGCTTTGCAAAAAACACACTCATGTTGCATCAGAGACGAAGGGATTTCACAAGGACGGCAAACAACATGCAGGGTCCAGATGGCAGAGAAGCAACACTGCACATCACGCAATAATAAATAAAGCAAAACATAAACTGCAGCGACACATGCACACGAATCACAACAAGAAAATGAAGCAGAGATGGATGAGGCAAGTTCGGAAACAGCGGAACAGGAAAGAGAACTCGGGTGGTCGTCAATCCAGGAAGGACAGAAGTTCTTACCTCTTGGAGAGAAAGGTTTCTCGGAAGGCATTTAATGAGACATAGAGGAATCAGATTTCAGATCATTTTACGTTTCAAAGGAGCAAATCATTGATCTGTGTGTAATGTGAGTTTATGTGAAAGAGTACACGGAGCTGAGAGGTTTGACGGAAAGAGAAAAGAAAACATCGACGTTTGAAATCAGATGGACATTCAGGACATTGACATAAAACCCAAGTATTTCACTCATCTTAAAAACTTGACTCCACCTCGGAGCCAAAGCTGATAAAAACCTGAGTCTACTGCAGAGTGTGTTGACTCGGGAGTAAATGCAGATTGTTTTCTATTCTAATTGCAGACAAAAGCCAGATGTTGGGGGGTGGAAATGGGTTTTTGAGCAGTAATTTGGTTCACGTCCCATCTGCTGACATGGAGGAGGCAGGATTTATGATCTATACTGCAGCCAGCACGTAGGGGGCGATCAAGATGGTTTGGGAAGCTGTCGTGTCATCCACAGATGTAGGAAAATATTTTATCAAGAGCAGATTCAATATCATGAATCACCATGATCCAGGCATCTTTTTTTTTTTTAGAGTCGCTTAAAGGAAACAGAGATTAGAGAAGAAAAGAGAACAAGATATAAATAACGTTGCAGCAACAAGCTCACGGAATCTGCTCGTAACAGTCATCAAACTGCAGATCAATTTCTACAGCGGAGAAGTGAAACCACATCGAGATTCGAATAAATGTAATTATAGAAGAGGGATCAGTTAGTCTGTGTGTGTGTGTGTGTGTGTGTGTGTGTGTGTGTGCAGCTGCAGGTACTGGAGCCACACAGTTCTGTGTTTGAGTGCCTATGAGATTATGTTGTAAACAGGATATTTATAATGGAAATGTGTGCACTGCAGGATAAGTCCTGGTCGTGCTTCTGCAGCATCTGTAAAGTGAAACACATTTTCTTTTCTATTATGTGACTCATAACTTAAAGCTTATATTAAATATTATTTTAAAACATCCTTGAGAGATATTTCCCTTCGCTCTTGTTCAAAACTGTGATTAAAGAACACACGCTTCATTTACATGCTTTACGCCCGCAACGCTCCCCCAAGGCCACACACGTGTAACGAGAGAACAACACGGTCGTCCAGGGATCTCATGATCGACGGAGTCACATGACACGGATGATAAAAACATTCTTATTGATCTTGTTGACATTCTTCCCACTCGACCTCCTGGTGGAGAGGTGGTGGCTGGACGCTGTGAAGCAGGAAGCCTGGAGGAGGGAAGATGTTTGTGCAACACACCTGACATTTAAGGTTTTACAGGTTTTCCCTTCACTTGCTGCAGTTGAGGTGAAACCTGCTGCAGGTGTCTGAGTCTGCTTCATTTACACACAGATTTATAATCACTCTTCAGGACCAGTTCTTTTCCTCTCTGAGCTCTAAACGAATGCAGATTCTGGGTTTTTTCAAAGGTTGTCGAATAAAGTGCTGTGTTGTGCAAATGCCAGAGTACCCACGGGGACTGGAGGTCGGTTTGTCCTGGAGACAATGAGAGACTCCACAAATAAACCAGAGGTGAAATCCGAAAAGAAACTACAACATGAGCGATGCTGAAGTCACAGCTCAGCTCTTGTCTTGTGCTTTCCAGGATTTTTTAAACTTTCCTTATATGACATGATTCTCTAAAGTGTTTTTCCATATTGTCAGATGTTGAAATACAGAGGATCATCTCTTTTCATGATGAACACGTGACGGACATGAAACTAGAAGGAGACAAATATCTCAGGACTTAAAAAAAAAAGGAGACAAACACGTAGAAGACGTCAACTTGGAAAGACGACGATGTGTGGATGTGCTGTAAATCAAACCACTTGATGCCCCGCCTCTTGCTGCTGCACCTCACCTGACTGTTCTGGAAATGTTCCCGTAGGTTTGGGGCAAACGTTTTGATATTTGGGTTCGGGTTGGTCACATTGGCTCAACTACCTCGGAACATGTCTGACCTGGACAATCTCGTGCTGCGTTCTTCACGTGTCAACGACATTTTCCAGAGTCCTTGTCTGAAAATCCGCTAGCACTTCCTGTTTGAAAGGAAGTGCAACTCTCACTGACTCTATAAAAACGTGTATTCTGTCTGTGTGTTGCAGAGGTCGTGACTCGGAGCAGAAGTAAAGAACTTTAACTGCCTCAATGAGCTGCGCGTCACAGTCCCACAACTTCCTGTTGTTTTTATAACACCGCCGTGCTCCTGCCCTAGTCACCTCACACCGTGTGTTTGATTCTCCTGCACCGTCCGACCGACAGTCTGAAAACCTCTGCGCTGGAGTTTAAAGACGTACGATAAGATTCAGGAAGCTCTGATGGCAGATTACTGTTTGTTTGTGTGTTAATTACAAACAAGCCTCCATCTGTGATAATTATTGTTCATTAACACTAAATTAAGGATTTTTTTCTTTCTTTGGAGCTTGACAGCGTTAGTCCAGCTCAATCGCGGAGGCTATTGTCAGTGTGTACTTCATCGTGTCACCGCCCCGTGTCACCCTCCAAACCTGCTGGTGATTCGTAGTCAAATTTAAATAAGCTCTCCTCATGTCGTCAGTCACTTCCCGACCCCACGGACGGAGAGATGAGAGACGGAGCCGTAAAAAGAGACGTTTACTGGGCTCAAAATAAAAAGCCATCAACACAACTAAAGCAGAGCACTCTCTCTCTCTCCCACTCAGGCACCGTGGGCGGCCACACTGCAGCTGAAATGATAATGCAATCCTCTGCAACATGAACGGAATTGGAAAATCTACCACGAAAGGAAGAATTCAAGTTAATGCTACAGAGTGATTACAGTTCAGTGTGTGTGTTTAAGTGATGTCAGCAGAGAACAACATGAAGAGTGAACACAGCAGATTATTCTCTGCTGCAAAATAAAAGAACATTTAAATAATTCTGGGTGTAAATGAGAATCTGATTATTCAAATTTTTGAAATAAAGTAATTATACTACTTAACTACACATATTACCAGTTTA